TGTTGTTGCATCACATCAGAATTCCATCTTTTTTGTTATACAATAATTCATGTGATCAAACTATAGAATAAAAAAAACTTCTAAAAGCAACTGTTGCCTTACTCCTCTGTTTTGAGCTCCAATGGTGTACTGACGATAGGCTGAACACACATTATATGTAACATCTATACTATAAATGAAGATAGAAGAGCTGTTCACCCTGGATTGCTGACTTGACATCTGAGGCTTGTATCATCCTCAATATTCCAGGGGTTCCGCTCACTTATTTTCTCTGCACAAATGGAAGATATTATTATAAAATCGAAGGCTCAGTGTGAGACAAGAAAACTAGTTTGATCCTTTGATGTACATCAGACGAATCTCGCGGTCGCGTAACGGTAAAATTGACTGGCTTTGAAGTCGGGTGTCATATCCCTGTAATCTTCCTAGGACATGTATTGGCCTAGCGATCAATCGGGGTTATTGTTTAACATGACTAACTGCGTGCCTTCAGTTTTGCTATGACATATTGCAGGTAAACAGAGAGCGTAAGCGATCATAACCCATGGAATTGCATGTGCACAGTACTCTTTCTGTCGGTATTAATTACTCGACACATATGCAATATCATTAATGTCAAATTTAAGCCGTTGAAATTGATTTTCCATATTAGAGATAAAATCCATGACAAAAGTACTAGAACAGTTGCTTTTTTTGCCCGTAAACTCAATCTTAATTCCAACTGATTGAATTGACGCAAATCCCACAGAACAAGAGACGGAAGTGATAATGACTAACTTTTTTGAGAACCAACGCTGACGGCGACTTATATTTCCAGGGAAAACGCTTGTAGCGGACTGAAAAAATGAGTCGATGTTAAAATTTACTAAAGCCAGGAAATTATGGCGTTGACGGTGACTCAATTCTGAGGAACAAGTCCTTGAAATTGACGCCATCCCTGGAAACCACTGTGGGCATTGACTCACGTCCAGGGAAACACTGTTAAAATTAACTCAAATCCCAGTGAACGTGAACTGAAAGTGGCAGAAAGGTTAATAAGAACTCGAAATTTTGGGGACACCACTATTGAAGTTAATTTGAAGAAAATGAAGTTTATACCATGTTTACTGAAATCCGCAAAACAATTGTTGACATTGACTCAAGTTTAGGGAAATACTGTTGAAGATGACTTAAATTTAAGGCAACCACTGTTGAAGGTGACTCAAATCCCACGGGAACTAATGTGACCCTTTAGAATGGTTCACTTTACGGGTAACGACTTTTAATGACGACTGAAATGACTGAATAACCAGGAAAATCACCGTAGAACGTCCAAGAGAACCCTGTTGTAGGTGACTTATTTGCCGGGAATCACTATTAAATATAACATAGAACCGGGGAACCGCCATTGGAAGCGATTTCCGGGCATTTTGGAGATGACTGAAATCCTTGGAGCAGCCATTGAAGATAGCTGCGGGAACCGTAGCTTTTAGGTCCGATCGGGTTTTGTTGTTGTTGTTATCGGACCATAAGTCTATGATCTGATAAAAACACAAATCAGAGACGAACAACATTTACCTGTGTTTTGTGTTTCGTTTGGCAAGGAGTGAAGCTAATCTATATATTTTCAGGTGTTGACAAGCGCAGTTATTTGAAATAACTTCACACGATTTTGTAAAAAAATTATTGAAATCAGACGTGTTGTGGCCCTAATAGCCACTACATATATTTCAACGGCTATCGCTATAAAAAAGCTCACCAAGATTTACTTCAGAGAATAAACTTTAACTACATGTAAATCTATTTCCCTCACAAAGACATATATATACTTTACTACAAACTCATTATACGGAACTCTGTATGCTACGGTATAAGAGCCTCCTCAAATCTATTTAACGTCATCCCAGCATTGTGACTACAGATTATTTCCTATTGACAACAGGCGGATGTATCTAGGGCAGAAAAATGTGACAGCGAACGGCGTACATTTATCCCAATCCAGAGGGACTTGAGAATTTGTTACAGCTATATTTGGAGCCAAACTAAGGTCTTCAGAGTAATTTTACACGTTTTAGGGGTTTATATTATCTTTCGGTAAATTATCATCATTGGGGGTGGCATTTTTACCGAAAGTTTATCCAAACTCCTAAAACGTGTAAAGTTACTCTGATCACCTACATTTGGGTCCAAATATTGCTGTAACAAATTCTCAAGTCCCTGTGTTCCAATCTAGTTTATCCACGGTGTGGTGTACTGACAAGTCTAACTAAAAGTTGACAACAACCAAGTGATATAATAAGCTCGGATAATTTTACTGGAAACATCATGAACCGAATATGTAGGTTTGTCCTGATTTTAGGACTGTCTGTCCTCCGCCTGATGGGAAATATGGACGCTAAAACACAAGACAAAGGTAACTTTTTAGTTTTAACATATTTTATTGCCATAAATATACACCGTAAGCATACATACAGCAAAGGGATTGGGCACAATTTATATGGACGCCCTTTCCCTACGTAAAACAATATTATATATATATACAATAAAAGATGACTAGGTGTAACGTAACTTCAAATTATAGTTTTAATGTGAAAAACAAAAAGACGGGCAAGCAATCGACACACTCATAATATCAGACAGACGGACAGACATGCACAGCCGTACAACAGACATACAGACGAATTCTCAAATGAAATACATGTACAATGTATTCGGATGAAAAAAGCGAGCGGGTGGGGGTGGATTAAACTGATTAAAGTAAAATTAAATTACATTTAATGAAGAATTATATATTTATATATGGTAGTCATACGTTTTAATTAAACCCTCTTGTGTCATCGTTGGGTATGCAAGAGTACTGTTCGTTTAAGCTTTCACTTCCACAGAGAAGCTTAGCCAAACTCAGGAGAAGACATTTTATACAATTTTGAAAAAGAGTTTCCCTTTGTTTTATATAGTCTTTACAAATAAAGAAATAGTGGAAAACATCCTCTTTTGGATGTAATAGTTTCATTATTTAAAGGTAAATTGTCTGAGTATGTAATAGACGTATCATCTGCAGTCTCGAGAGAATCATCAAATTGTCAGTAATATCATTCATGGATAACTTGTTGATACCTATTTGACGAATAATTTTTACCCATGTAAGCAAAGCCAAGGTAAGGTCATTTCTACTGTAAGTGTTGTACCTATACTACTTATTATGAAATAAAAACAAAAATGGCATCTCTGTCGAGAAAACATCTCGGTATCCGCTACTCCATTAGCGAACAGTATCAAATGCAATTAGGCCGAATGAAAAACACGTACGCTTCAGTAACATATTTGTTTCATATTTTATTGTCGTTTCGGCTTGCGATAACGATAGACATTTTAAGTTTTGGAAATGCCATAATACGAAAGCTGAACGGATGAGCTTTGTAACACGAAATTACCGACAGCTGTAGGTCGTTAATTCATGTAATCATATCGCCTTAGCGAGGTGAAATGAAACGACACTTCGAGACAAATACGATGTCGTTGGTTTGGTTTAGTTTGGTTATATTTTGTTTAACGTCCTATTAACACCTAAGGTCATTTAAGGACGTGCCTCAATGTGTGCAGTGTATGTGTGCTTGCGTTTGTGCATGCAGGAGACAGGGTATGTTTGTGTGTTTGCCTCCTTGTAAATGCCCGGACTGATGCCGATTTTATAGTGCTACCTTACTGAAATGCCATGCCGAAGCACCAAGCACAGCATTCTGCCCGGTCACATATCATACTGACAACGGTTTTTTTGTATGTCGCAGCAAGTATATCCTAAAAAACACGTTTGAAAATATAAAGTATTATTGAATACTCGAAAACCCAATATTGAATAGCTAATTTAATTTACATAATTTTCAAAAACTTTGGATTTGAACATTTATATTGAGTATGCAGTATTCGAATTTTAGGTATGCATACTGTGTAGATTTTTTAATTTCGCGAGGCTAATTCTTCGCAGTTGTCCAGATCAGCACTAGCTCGCGGGAATCAAAATTCAACATAGCCAGGTAAAAGGAAGACTTCCGCTCACGAAGGCAATTTTGTGATTTATTTTGCAAGTGATTTATCAAAATAACACCGTAAAATACTGCAGACGACATAGTGCTTTCGGCAGTAAAACAGTGAAGAGGTATATTTATGGTATTAATATTTTATTGGTTATTTTGGCTATCTTTAATGATTGCGAATTGTTTTTAGGTTTGGAAAAAATAATAATTGAGGTATGTAACTTATCAAATTGTGACGCAGTTGCCGTCACAAAATAATTTCTAGGCGATGATTTGTTTGTTTGTTTTATTTTGTTTAACGTCCTATTAACAGCTAAGGTCATTTAAGGACGGCCTCCCCTGTGTGCAAGATGCATGCGTGTAGTGTATGTGTGTGTATTTTGGGAGGCTGCGATATGTTCGTGTTTGTCTCCTTGTGATAGCGCGGAACTGATGCCGACTTTATAGTGCTACCTCACTGAAACATACTGCCAAAGACTCCCAGCAGGACGCCCCACCCGCTCACATTATACTGACAACGGGTGAACCAGTCGTCTAGGCGATGAAGCAAAAAAAAATACCCCATTATGACTACCAGCATCTTTTTAAGCTTTTTATGACGCACTATTTTATGATATTGGATTTGTTTCAGTTTTAGACCGCCGGTTTACCTGCCATTGTATTGACGAGTCGGAGTGTATCGATATAAGGTGTAGCAGCGGATGTGTCCCACCTTGGACGGGACACACCTGCCAGAGCAGTAAGTATCACGTGATGCTAAAGCATGGACCACACATGTGTCAGAGAAATGTGCACGTGCCAGTGCAGACGACATATTTATCAGCAAAATAAGTATTGAAGGCGTACTGCCTTACTTTCGAGAAGCTACTATAATCCAAACCATCATTTATTTCTTTAGTTTCTTTATTCTTTGTAAACAGACCGTATTAACATGTGGGGTTTTATCCAAATCTTATGTCTTGTAATTTAGAAAATCATGCACTCAACATGACAGCGCTTCAGAAGAGTGGTCCTGGTTCGAATGACCCCAGCCTCGCTGTGGACGGTAACACAAGCACGTGCTCAAGAACGAAGGCCAACTCTTCCGGTTGGTGGATGATAGACCTACAGGAACCGTTTCCGGTCTATCGGTTCCAAATTTTATCTGGTGCGGTATACATTGTTTATGGTCTTCTTAGCAACTATCGTTTGATAAAAGTCGTAAGGAAAATTTCCTATGGATTATATGTAACTTCTTTTTAGCAAGTGATCGGTTCTGTACCGTCCGTTTCTGTGACAGATAAATACACTGTATTGTCTGCAGATGCTGGATAAATACAATGTAAAAATAATGGCAATTAGAGGACAACCCTGCGTATGGTCTGTCTACACATGATAAATACAAATACCGTTTAGCTGTGTCAGATTAGTATAATGAAGTGTCTGTTTATATACCATCTAAATGCAATGTACTGTCATGGCAGATAACGGCTCGTCCCTGTACAACTGGCAGATCCTGGTAGGAAACTCGCCTGGGCTTCTCTCCATGCACCGATGTACAGTCCTCAAGGTACACGGACATCGTCTCACGTCCGTGTGTGACGGGACGCCGGACAGACAGATACGGACACGCTATGTAGTTGTTCTCAACACCCACGCACCTGTAGTTGTATGTGAATTCAAAATTCTGAGTAAGTCTTGTATCGGTGGCTCCTTATAATGTTGACATCACAAGCCATATTTTCAGTTTAAAATTAAGACATTTTTACAAGAATCAGCCAGTCAGTTGGCCTTTATTTCTTTGCTAGACTTGTTTCTATATGTAACCCCCACCCCCAACACACACACACACACACACACACCGCCCCCTTTCTACTACTGATCGTTGCATGCCTTGACACCATGCGCCATCATGTCTTTCGTATTTCGCGATATGTAAAACGACAAGAAAATGTCTGTCAGTCTGTCTGACCCCTGGTCAGCTGTCCATTGCTAACACCCGTTTCCAGATTCACGAGCCACACATCGTATTTGCTGTGTTTTTTGTCGTTGAGAAAACTACGTAAGATTATATATTTTTACGAGGAGGCACGGTAGTCTAGTGGTAGGACGCCGGGCTCGTGACAGAAGGGATGCCGGTTCGAGTCACGTCACGGCACTTTGTTGTATCTTTGAGCGAGCTACTTTAATCCGCTTGTTCCAGTCTACTCAGCTGTAAATGAGTATGTGGTTGGGCAGTGCTAGAATTATTGAATGGTAGCTGTAAGCGCCGAAATAGCAGCACTGGCTGTATGCTCCCCAGGGAGTTGAGAAAGACATTGGCTGGTTGAAAAGGCCCTATAACCACGGATAATAATCTGTGAACCGCTTTGAGACGACCAACGAACTAGGTTGTGATAACGCGGTATATAAGAACCTTAAATTATTATTTATTATTATTATCATTTTACGGACGCACATATGGAGGGAGGAAATAACTTTGTTTGGTGCGATAATGCACTGTTTGATGTAAACACGTATCGTTTTCCAGCCTGTGCCCAGTTCCGGTTCGGCGAGGATTGCGAACAATCTTGTTTATGCCATGATCTTGAGGAGGAATGTGACCTTATGGACGGAAGCTGTCGGTCCGGATGTCGGGACGGCCGTTGGGGACAGGGTTGCCAGCTCGGTAAGCGAAAGTTTTGTTTTGGAAGAAACGACGTGTTTCATTTCTTCGTAGCATTAATTGTATTTTTGTAAATAGGCTTGAATTTGAGGAATAATTTGTCAAAAATGTTTTTTTTTTGTAATTGCCATGAAGACGTTCTCGTTGTTTTCGTGTCTCCTGGGTTCCTAATCTTGTATTTTCGCACCCGAAATTATTTTAAGTTTCTTTCTGTCTTTGTGTGCTGACGTTACGGTGCTCATACTGGTTTATTTCTTGTTTGGATTGTTGTTCACATTGTTTTCAAAAGGATCGGGTATAGTTTATTAGAAGAGATGTTTGTATGTTTCTATTTTCTTCTTTGATCAAGGAAGAGAAGAAACAGACCATGCGTGTCATTTTGATTCGATATTGCATGCTCCACATGCATTGTCGAATGGTACTATATAATTAAGTTTGCTCTCCGTCTTTCCGCCAGTTTATCCCGGGCCCGTTTTCATAAAACCGTTCTCATGCTCAAGCATGGCTGATTTTGTGCGCAAACCAATTTTCTTTTTTTTACTCTCTTAAATCATGTCAACCGATCAAGTAGTCAGATGTCAATATTGAAAACAGTATTCGGCTTTAAGTCTCTATTATTTTATTAATTTATAATCGGAACAAGAAATTAGACTTGAACACAAATGCATGCTTGAACATGAAAACAGTTTCATGAATACGGGCCCCGGTGTATCTCATATCTCTGGCATCTAAAATTCTTAATTGTTGTTTATACGAGTACCTCATGCGATGGTGGAGTGTCAAAAACAATACAGTTCGTATATCATAGGCTCGTTTTTTTGATACATTACAACAAGTTCTATATATAAGTAACGTTTGAAAATATTGAAAATCTGCTTAAGAACCAATTCAGATGGCTATATTATATATGATATCAGTATTCATCACAAGTTGGCTATTATTTATATATATTTAGTTGAAGGGGACTTAGTCGGTCGTCGGCGACCAAGTAGCTCAATTGGTAGAACGTCCGTCTAGAGTTTGGAGGGTCCCGGGATCGAACCCCGGTCTGGCCGTGCATTTTCCCGCTCCTATTACATTTGGTGCCTGTGACCAACCCTTATTTCAAATACTTGCTGTATGCTTGGCAATGGGGATACCTGAACTCGGGATGTAAATAGAAATGTCGTTGTGGGGTAGAGATCTAGAAAAAGGAGGGAGAAATGTAGCGGAACTGGACTGGGTCGGTCGTTGGCGACCAGGCGGCTCAATTGGTAGAACGTCCGTCTAGAATTAGGAGGCTCTGGGTTCGAACCCTGGTCTGGCCGTGCATTTTCTAACTACTATTGCATATCATAATATACCGAATTTGTGAAGGATGAATTCAGCTTAGGACCAGAATGTCTGGTGTCAGGCCAAGAGGTAACTCGGGCTACACCTGACATTGATGATATTGCTATTCACAGAATGTGTGGAATCGTATGGCCCCGGATGTATGTACCAGTGTGGCCACTGTGCAAACATGACGTCATGTGACCCCGTGACAGGGATGTGTTTGACCTCTGACTGTGACCCCGGATGGCGGGGACCCAAGTGTGATATACGTAAGTTCTTACGTAGTATAAGGCCTCGTGGTCCCGCATGGCAGTCCATTTTCTTCAACATAGGAGCTAGACACATAAACCCCTGTTATCAAAATGCTGTCTGCAAGGAGTGACATTTTGGCAAAAAAGAACGAGAATTTTTTTTCCTTTTCTTTCTGTAGTCATTATCTGTCTGTCAGTCGTAGTTACAATAAATGTGGAAAATAATTTCCGTATTTTAATAATTCCTTTCTGTAAACTGAACTTCTGCTTTGTAGAGTGTCAGCCTGGCTATTATGGTTTAGACTGTACGTCCATCTGTGGTCATTGTCGTCACGGCGTGACATGTGACCCCCGGGACGGAAGGTGTGACGGAGGGTGTGCCCCGGGATGGGCGGGAGACCAGTGTGACCAACGTAAGTACGTGGAATGTAGAGGAAATACCAGTAACTAAAATGTACTGTGTATTTGTCCTCAAATATCTCTTTTTTATTCTAAAATGTTCAAAAATATTGTCAGATAAAAATGGATGTAGACTCCAACTCCAATCACTGAGACAAGAACAATATTCGAATTGTTGGCACTGCAGATGATCAATCTATTCCCTCAGGTTGCCAGGCCGATCGACACGGGGAGAACTGTTTGTTTGCCTGTGGGGCGTGTCGAAATAGATGTGACCCTGTGACGGGACTCTGTCCTTCAGGCTGCGCCCCGGGGTGGCAAGGAAGGTTTTGTACTATCGGTAAGTGAGGGAACACTATGTCGTCTAGCACGAGCCAACAAAACGAACGGCCGTTTATATAACTCGTAATACATTAATAGTACAAATTCATAATTCGATTCGGCATTATAATGGCTTTTGGACATTAAACTGTGTAGATCATCTGTCTTTGCGATTCTAATCATTGCTTTTCTGGCCATTTCAATAGGTGACCAAAATGCATACATTGAAAGCTGAAGGTAGAATACGTTTAGCTACAACAGGTGACTCGTTCCTTTGGCTACACCAATACTTAAAGAATCCTTTGACCATCACGTATAACGTTTTCTTCTGCCAACCGAGGATAATAAGTTCCCTTGACCACCATGCATGGGTAACTCTTTCACTTGACCAACGGAAATAAATCCTTCCCTTTCCTTTTACCATAATTGCAAACTATTTCCATTTGCTTTCTTTTCGTAACCGCCAATAACATTTCCCCTTGTCCACCACAGATAACTCCTTGACCACCATAGGTAACATTTGATTACGTAATCCGAATAAGTTTTCTTTAGATAGCATACCTCTGGTTACCTCTTTGACTACCCTACTCTTTCCTTTGACCACCACAGATATGTCCTTCTGTTGACAATCATTGTTGCTCTTTTTATTTTTAACCCCAGCCGATAACTGTTTCTTTTCATTAGCACGGGTAACTCTTTGACCACCGCGGATAAGCATTTCCTTTCATCACAACAGATAAATATTTCCTCTGACAACAATGGTTAGTTAACAATTCCATTTGCCTCCTCGGATAACACTTCACCCATTTCGTTGTCACCAACAATAGGTCTATCCTTTGACGTCATAAATAACGCTACCTAAACATACATTTTCCGTTTGGCCTCCACAGACCATTCTTTCTTTTCGCGGATAACGTTCTGGCCTCCATGGATGATTTTAACATTTGACAACCGCAAACATTTTTTTTTCTTTGACCTCAACGGACACACGGAAGGCTCTTTCCTTTTGCCACCATGAATAGCTACAATTTTGAACCAAACTTTCCGTACAAAAGGTTGCCAAACCTTTGTGGTTTTTTTCAAATAAACAAACCTTCGTCATCTATAGACAATCTTTTAAGGTTTCTAGTGTAGGCGACACAGCTCCGTCGCAGTTTCTTTTTTGCTTTTATAGGATTCACAATCAGGAAGCAACCCAATAGATATAATTGAAAACGTAGACTGGTCTATTAACCATAATTTGTTGAGATGTTCTTGATACATAACGTCATTGGAATCTCAGCATCATAATTATGTTCACTTCCTGTCGCGGTTTATTTACAACCAGAAAAGTCACTGTTAAAGCTGATTCTCTCAATCTTGCAGAGTGTCTACCTGGGACATACGGCCCGGACTGTGAGGCGAAGTGTCCGCAATGCTGGGAATTGGTGTGTGACAAAGAGACTGGGGAGTGTCAACAGGGATGTCAGCAGGGCCTAAGGGGACAGCACTGTAATTCGTGTAAGTTTGTTTTTACCTCTTTACTTCCCAAACATCAGAAAAGATGGTCAATTTGACATCCACAGACGAGTACGATGTACTCAAATTTTATTTTTCAAGACACAAAACTTAAAATTATAGCTTTGAAATATGTTTTCCAATCTTAATTTTTAAGCAGTATTCTTTTCTATGCTTTCTAGCGATGCAAGCCAGGTATCTATTAAAGACATACACGTACCTGTTTAACTGTTTTTTATAACCAAGTAAGGGATGTTGCTGTATCTGGACCATTGATGCTCATTACTCTGCATCCTCGAAATTCCAGGGGTGACGGTCTCTTACGTTCCATGCAGAGAACTCGAGTAAACGTAACCCCTTGAATTTCGAGGACGATGTCTCTGTGGATTTTTAAATGAATACACATTTAATAGGCCATAATATACTTGTATATAAAATGTAGATGCTATTTAGACACGCAACATATTTCGATAACAAGAGGCTCGTAGGCCTTAACAGTCAGCGGAGTCAAAATACAATTGTTATTTGTTACTTGGATGTGACAAAGAATAAAAGACCATACAACCAAAACTGTCTTTTTGACTGTTGATTTGGCTATTTCAAAATTATATTGGGGAGTGACCAATATGAAGAGTTAGTAAATTTCAGTAAAATGATAAAAAAAACTGCAGTTATGTCAAATTTGTCCCATAAAGGGCGAATAGTTAAAACTGAAACCATATAATAAAAATAATAACTATGTTGAATTGTTTCACATTGAAAATCAACAAAATCTACCAAAGAATATGAATTGCCTATAAAACCCATATCAACATTACCCCCTGCCCAGGAGATGGGGGATGGTTGACCTGGGGTAATGCAATTCGCAATTCAAATAAAGCACTCTTGGACCTTTCCATCTAAGATTAGAAGACGATATTATTCAACCTTTTGTTGGTCTAAAGAAGAAAATTGTTGATATTTTCTAGAAGAAAAAATGTAAATATGCATGATTGTTTTAGGTTTCGGACTATGAGCCCCCTGAGGGTCAGTCCCTTCTCGAGTATAATTCTGATCACAATCATCAAAGCATCTTTAAAAAAAAATGTTGGTGAAAATCCACAAGTATAAGATTCACAGAAGAAACCTTTTGAAGGTTTTGCACTCCGTAGCCCTTTATGAACCCGCCTCTCAGCTCCCCTCGGGGGTCAGCCCCATCTCGAGTAAATTCTGATCCCTATTTCAGACTGGGGTGACCCGGGTTACCTAATAAAAGCCGTTTTATATTGATGTCTTGCTATCCCTCCTTGTGCAGCCTGTCCCGTTGGTTCGTACGGTAGAGAGTGTGCCGGGAGGTGTGGTCGGTGCCTAGCACAAGAGGTATGTTCCGTGACGGACGGTGCTTGTCCTGGAGGCTGTGAACCAGGTTACAACGGAACCCAGTGTCACAATGGTAAGTACACGGTTATACGCTAGTCTAAAATCGGCTATCAATGCAAAAAAAGACCAAATGATACCTTCGATCGTCTGTGAAATGCGATTAGGTTTTTTTCAGAAACCCTCCTTCATAGCGGGACGCATTATAGCGTCATCTTCTCCATGTGTCTATCACCCACAATTTATTTTCCACTAAGTAATTTCGGTTCTTGCAATAAACGCTTTTTTTGTGATATTCCTTCAATGATAAATGAAATTCAGGGTAAAATCTTCCATTCTGATTGGCTGATGGTTTCAGGCAAAAAGTCAGGTTCAATTGGCTGTTTTCACCTTCGGGAGATTGCAGTTGTTGGTTTGTACCGTTTCTTTTCGATTCGTCCGGGGTCATGGTCATTGAATGTATAAAGTCCTCCAATCTGATTGGCCGATTGTTTCGACTCCATAAGCACACTTCCTTAGGAAACATTGTTTAGTTTTTGTAAACATATGGAAACCTATATTAAAATACAAAAAATGCCAGACAACTCATGACGTCCATCAGCATGAGCAAAGGGGTTGGGATGGTCATATAAATGTTTTACAGAAGGATCATTAGCTTGTTATACTAATTAATATCTTTATTGTGATTTCAAAATTTACAATTATTTCTTTTGCAAGGACAGGGGAGTTTACCCCTGTGACCTTAGCTCTACACCAAATTCTATTGCATATATTTGAGAAAGATTTGTCCATTAATTTCTGTGAATTAACGAAAATAAACTATGATACGGTAATCCAAGATGCCGTTTTGCAGACCAATTCTTCCTATCCCCAGACAAAAAAGATATTGAACATCCACGACCCAAGAGAAACCTGTGAAAGGCATTAAACGATGTGTCCAGTACCTTCTAAGAGATTGTAATAGCATACTTAGGCACTTAAATCCAAGATGACTGCTAACTGGTTATGTTCATCCTACCCACAAACAAAATATCGGAATACCCCTTTATAAATCATTCTTTAACGATCATGGATAGCATTCTTTTCGTTGTAGTATGTGATCCGGGCTACTATGGCGAGGGATGTATGGCATGCGGATTCTGTACAGCACAGTTACCTTGCGATTTACTTACCGGGAAATGTCCGGCTGGATGTGTTATGGGTTTCGATGGTGACCGGTGTGACACAGGTAAGACTCGATCAACAAAATTCATCATTTGATCTGAAACCATGATGATTCTTGGATGCGATCACATTTCATACTTACTGGATAATATATAACATCATTAATTCTGTTTAAAATAAATCAAGAACGCGCATTTCATTTTCAATTTACAAACGATCAGGAACTTAAATATTTTCCTGCCATCTTCCATACAGCAAAGGCGTTCGTGGAATCCTCAAACAACTATCTAGATTACGTGTTACCCCTCAACTTTATTCTGGTCGGGGGTGTGCTCACGTTCGTCTTCGCATGTCTTATAGTCAAGTCCAGACGGGAGGAACTCTACCCGTACTCACACACCAGGCTACCCGAGTGACCTGCTACACCAGGAGGTAAGTGATCCCTACCAGTTCTAAATGAAAACTAGGCCCAAACAAGGTTGTCAGAGACCCCTATCAGTTCTAAATGAAAACTAGCCCTAAACAAGGTTGTCAGTGACCCCTACGAGGTCTA